TATTCTCATCATTTAGGTCTGGGTCTCCTGGGAGATACCACCCTTGACTTTCATGTCTAAAGTAAGTCACCCCGCCAGCTATTCTGCTTACCTCCTTCACAGCACATATTACAACTTATAATTATATTCTTTGCTTAGTCACTTGTTATTTTCTCTTTCCTCATCTGTGTATAAGTTCTATCAGAGGCAAAAACAATGTTTATGTTCTTCATAAGATAGCAGAGTGCCTAGAATATGCTAGGCATTTAACGCATAAAATAAGTATTGAGGAGGAGGGGAAGATCAACAGCTAAAAGCTATGGAAGCAGGTGAAAACCCCAGGGAGCTTGCAGACTGGGGCCAAGAGGCCTTAGGACAAAACTAGTGAACACCAGCCTACAAAGAAAATTTAGGAAAACTGGGAATGAGATGCCCCCAAAAGGATTTTAGGTAAGAAAGTAACCTGATCATATCCAAACAAACATTTATATGTCTATTAATATGTCTGAGGATTCATGAGCCATATAATATGACAACTATCTTTAATTAAAAGAAATCTTGAAATGCTTCTATACTAATTTACCTCTTGTTTTTTTTAATTGAAGTATAGTTGACACACAACGTTACATTAGTTTCAGGAGTATAACATGGTGATTATACAGCTCTATGCATTATGCAGTGCTCACCACAAGTGTAGCTATCACCTGTCAGCAAACAATGCTATTACAGTACCACCGACTATGTTACCCATGCTTTATCTTTTTGTCCCTGTGACTTATTCATTCTGTAACTGGAAGCCTGTACCTCCCATTCCCCTAAACCCATTTTACCGACCCCTGTATCCCCTCCCCTCTAGCAACTACTAGTTTGTTCTTCATATTTATGGGTCTGCTTCTTTCTGCTTTTATTTGTTTGTTTTCTAGATTCCACACAGAAGTGAAATCATGTGGTATTCATTTTTCTGTGATTTTACTTATTTCACCTATTTGCTGTCATCCAATGAGAAATGTACTAAGATAGCAATGTTTGTTCAACATGGCCAGTTCAAAAAAAAATTGTGTTAGAGTAGGAAAAAAAAGTATGACTACTATAGCTTTTAGTTAAATAAATGTTATTATGTTTGTCAGGAAGTGTTCAAGAACATTTCTCCTTATGTAAGGCTTACCCCAGTAATGCTGCTTAGGTCAGTGTCTATCTGGATTATCTGCAGCCTAAATGCCAACTCTGTAAATTAAACCTGTCAAGTGACAGCTTTGCCATAGCATGCATAACCAACCTTTAAAATTTATTTATACTCCATTCCCTTTCTCTGGCCAGATTAAATTCTCCTTTCCTAAGCAATTTTTTACTCACTCCAGACTGTGGCATAATTCAATATGTTCTAAACAATTACAAGGAAACCCGTCTGATTTCCAAATCCCAAGTAATTTTCATTCAGACTTTGGAAAAGCAAAAGAAATTTTTCAAAGCTCACTAAAAATAAGAATTTTCTTAAATTCCTCCAGGTAAAAATATGTGAATCAGTCATAATAACGGCATGCTATGAAAATGTGACGAATTATTATAGGTTCATAAGTCCTTTGTTCAGTGTCCCAAGGAAACAGTTCTTTTCAACATGCGAATGGAACTATTCTTTTGACTAATCTGTCCATCACATTGTAATGTGCATGCTGAACCTCCACAGAAGCAAATATTACATTAAGTGGCAAGATTTCTAAGGTGAAAACACATTTTCCTCTGATTTGAAGACTTACCTATGCAATTTCCAGGCTTATGTGTAAGTCGATTAAAATTTGTCATGAAAGTAAAGAGACAGAAAATGGACATAATAGATATTAACTGGAGAGAATTACTTTTTTAAATGGACAATATTTTTAAGGTTGTTTGAAAACGTTAATTTTACTGAGATAATATTACTTGTAATGATTGGGTTTGATGACTTAATAAAATTTTGACTTCTGATCCAGCAGGATTCATTTATCTAAAGATATTTACATCTTTAGCACCCACTTGGGTCAGTAACTGGCAGTATCTATGTCTGACATGTACAAAACACAGCAGCCCAAGTACAGCTATTGGCCTATGGACTTTGTCCTTGGAAGGCCTGTTATGACAAGCTTAATTGTTTGTTGGAGATCTCTGTGTTTAAAATTCCCACAGAAATGATGATGTAACATTGCTGTTTGGTTTTATTATTCATCAAACTTATTAAAAAGACTAGATATCTTCATCACAAGAAAAAAAAAACGTAACTATGTATGGAGACAGATGTTAGCTAGACTTACTGGGGTGATTATCTCACAATGTATACAAATATTGAATCACTAGGTTGAACACCTGAAGTTAATATGATGTGTATAATTTATACCTCAGTAAAATAAGTACACAGAAACAGATATGAAAAAAGGCTTCATAAAACTTTTTTGGGGGGTCTTCATAAAACTTTAAATCAATGTCTTAAGGGAAGAAGACTTTTTAACTTTGAGCATTAGTTTTAAGCATTTATGCTGACCATTATATGTTCATAGAAATGTAAATGTACTCTACATTTTTAAACATTTTTTACAATCACACAAGAATATTAATTTTAGACATAAAATAAGGTATTCTATAAAAGCAAAAGAAAAATAGACCTTTACAATGTTGATAGGAACTGTGTTTGTGTCCCTAAATTTTTAGGACACTTCTTCTTAAGTACAGGAATACTTAAGATTGCCCGTCTGACACCTAGACACCCTCTAGGGTATTTGCCTCTACTAAGTATAGTTGGCATATTATGCCTTGCAGTCTGTTTGTTTCTGGGTGGATATCATCACGTTTGATCTTTCTATCATTGCAATGGTAATATACATACTATATTGAATTTTTATTTATTTTTATATTGAGTTTTTTTTTTTAAATCAGATTTCCTCATAGCCCCAAATCATCATTCTCTAGTGTCAATCAGTCTGAGGAGATTGAAAGGGATGAAATTGTCCACTCTTTTTATATGTCTATTATAACTGGAGTCATTCTATGTTTACTAGATCTGCCACCCCTGTAAGGATATCTCTATTTGCTATCATCAGAATTTACTGATTTGTTGTCTTCTGCAGCGTTTTTTATCTTCCCTAAGGATCTTCCTCATAACTGTCTTATAGTCATTTTTATCTCTCAACTTTTGGATTTTGCATTTTGAATATGCTGATAAAAAGTCCTGCCTACCATGATGGGACATATTGGACATGTTTTGCTGAGAAAAGTAACTTACAGCTGGGCATCTTATTTAGTAGGAGAAGTCTTCCATCTCAGGGCTTCTTCTGTAGCTTAGAATAAGCATTGGATTTCAGCTTTGGGTTTTCTTACCTCTGGATGTCTGGACCACTATTTGCAAACATGTTGGCTCAGTCTGGAGACCTTCTGCTAATAAATGCAGGTGCTGATGCTCCAAATGAAAATCTGTGGAGGTTAGTAGGTCTTCAGACCACAGGAGTCTCCTGACCAGTATTGGGATTGACTATTGCTTGCTGAGAATCAACATCTTTACACTGTTAGGCTGAGAAGACCATACACCCTTAGCACTGTAGTGAACCACCATGGCAGCTGCCAGAGTGATAGGCCCGAGAGCTACCCTGAGAGAATTTAGCAAACTGGTCAGCAAGACCATATTTGTACCTCGTTTAAAGCGTGTTCTTTCTCTCAATAGCAAAAGCTTTCTCTAGTTTTCCATCCTAGAACTATGTCCTTTTCAAAGCAGAAGAAGAGGGGGTACACCATCTGAGAGACTAAGACCTCCGGAAGCTGACTAATGTACTTGTGAGTTTGAGCCTGGCTTTTAGAGCCTGATAAGCATAGCTGACTGGATACTTCATGTCAGCAGTACTTGCGGTAATTACAAGATGTGTACATCACAAGGCTCACAACTTGCATCACAAGTTCTACAAGAAAACTGGCTAATACTGATTTGGCTCTGCTTTCCATTTGTTGAGTTTATATCTTGTCCCAGCAAATTCATTCTTTGAAAAGTCATTACATGAAAAACTTTCACCACTCCAATTAGCATCACTGTGCTGACCAACTTTTGGAGTGAGAGCAGCTGATTGAATGTTTTTCAGCTGCACCATCATATGCGTTGGTCAAGCTTTTTGTTTATCATGAAGTTAATTCTGCCCAGAACACACACTATTAATATTTTTCTCTTAGTGTCCCATTCACATTTTAACTTTATCAAAAGTCTCTGTCCTATGAAAAATTTTAATTTTTATATAATGAAATCTGCCCTTTTCTTTGTGACTTGAGTTTCTCTGACCTACTTAGGAAGGCCCCTCCCACCCCAAGATTTTTTTTCACATAACTTTCTGACATAACACTTTTAGAATATTTACTCCTTTAACGTTATTTGTAAAAGGACATTGTTTCTCAAGCTCTTTAGTTTTCCTTGATTTAGGTGCATTCAAAAGTTTCCTAAGCGAGTAATTTCTTTAAAGCGAAGGTGATTTTACGTTTGCTTCTGTAAAAGCCTGACCCAATTCCTTTTTTCAAAAGTGCTCACTTTGTTTACAGAGTATATGTTTATAAGAATGCTGAATAACGACCCAAGCACCGTCTCTAAATAATAGTACTAATAAGTCCTAAAATGCTGCAGTACACTGACCGAGAGAACACAATAATCTGATCCCTAAAGCCCTTTCCAACCAATCTACTGCTCAGTGAAAACAGCAAACAAAAGGCCTCAGTGTTAGTAGAGAACCCGAGTTCTTCATAGCCAGGTAAAAGTCCTATTTGGTCCCTTCCATCAAGTAGAGGAGAAAGGGAGTTTCCGGGTTATAAGTGACAAAATCGCCCTTGTGTAGCACAAAACAATTACGATGAGGCTTTACTTCTTAAGGGCCTAAATCATGAACACGGTGGAGCCACCGAACTGAAAATGAACCAAAAAAAAAAAAAAAAAAGCTTTAGCTTTGACGCAAAGGATTACAGCAGTCCTTGACATAACCAAAGATTCTCAATTTTTAAAACGCTTCCTTTTAGCAATGACTAACCTTTCATTATCTGTGACAACACATCAAGTGAGCAGCCGTACAAAGGATGCGTGTGATTTCGAAACGCCACGACTGGACTGAGCCAACTGCAGTTGCCCGCGTATGTACTATGGAGGCGTGACCAAGAAGAGACTCGACTCCGGGGAGCGTGGGGTTTCATCCGCCTCACCAGGGACTCTCCCGGGCTCCCCTAGCAAAAGTTTGGGAAGTGCCCCCGGGGACAAGGGTTCACCTAGCGCAAGCCTAGGGCCGTGGCATCCACGGTGTTGAGTCACCGGGTCCAGCGGTCGGTCGTGCGACATAAATACGACTTGATGACGGAGATGGTAGTGGCGCAGGTGCCAAGGTAAACCGCTGGCAAAGAGGGCTGTGGTTTGACTTCGGGCAGAATAAAGTGGGGTCGCAGCTGAGACACACTTCCAGCCCTAAAGGGATTGCGTTTTAAGTGGAGGCAACTTCAAAGCTCCGCACGCGACCTGTGCGCGCCCCTCGGCGGCTTTCACTATGACCACCGGGGTTTCCGGCCGATCCGCTGGGAGCCCCCCCGCCCCCCGCCCGACCCCGCTCCCATCGCTCGCCCACCCCAGGCTCCGTCCGCCCCCGGGTCCCCCCCGCCCCCCCGCCGACTGCCCCGGCCCTCCCCCCGCTCCGCCCCGCTCCGCCCCGCCCCGCCCCGCCCCGCCCCGCCAGGGAGATGCTACGACTCCAGCGCTTCGCCATTCATCAACCGGTTCACACCGGCAGCGGCCGCCGCGCGGTGACGTCCGAGGGGGACGGGCCTCCGCCCCCGCTCGTCGGCGCTCGGCCCGGGGCCCCCGGCCCTGATTGGTGGCCGGGCGTTCGCACGTCGCGCCGGCTATAAAAGGGAGGGCTCGTGACGCAAGGGCGCCTCGCCGCGCGTATTGGCTCCCTGTGCTGCGGGCCGGCTGGGCTACGCGCTCTTCTCGGAGCCGCTCACTGCATGGTAGAGTCTGGTGCCCCCGCCGCCGCCTGCGAAGCCGCCGCCGCCCCGCCACGACCACCGCTACCCCCTGCCCTGCAGCCGCCGCCGCCGCCGCCGCCTGTGTCGCCGCCGCCTCGGGACCGGCTGTATGATTAGGCCACAATCTTCAATGAGTAAACATATTCCTGTGAGTACCCGTCGCACCGCCGCCCCTGGGGCCGGGGCTCCGCGGCCGGCCCCCCCGGCCCCACCGTCGCCTTTGTTCGGAGCCCGGCGTCCGCCCCCCGCCGCCCCGGCGCGCGGTTCCGGTGGCCCCTGGCAGCGGGGGCCCGGACGCCGGGGTCCGCGGCGCTGCGGGGCGGCGGTTGGCCGCCGGAGGCACCGGCTTCCCCGTCCCTGCCGAGCCGGGGGCGGCGGGGGCGGCGGGGGCGGTTTCGGCCCCCGCCGCAGGCCGGGCGGGGCGGCACAAAAGCCGCTTTGTGACCGCCGCCTCCGCCCTTGGCCCTCCGGTCTGGCGCGCCCGTCCGGGGCCCGGCGGGCTCCGCGGCGTCCCGAGGCCCCTTTGTTTGGCCGAAGGAGAGCGGCCCGCCTGGGGAGCGGGAGACGTGGCCCGGGGTGGGGCAAGGGTTGCGCGTGTCACTGCGGAGCCGGATACGGGGAGGGCGCGGCGGCAGGGTCGCCACCAGGCCCGGGCCGGCGTGGGGTAGGCGGGGCGGCCGGCGAGGCTGATAACGGTCTCGGCCGAGAGGGCTCCGGGGGCGGGGGGCGGGGGGGCCGGCGCGGGACGCGAGCCTGGCGCAGCCACCCCTGTGCTCCGTGGCCCGGACCGGCGCCTCAGACAAAATGGCCTCGGCGTGCGCGCCTGACTGAAGGCGCGGCGCGAACCCGTGATTGCGGCGCGGACAGGGGGCGCCGCGGGCGGGCCCCGGCGCGGAGCTGCGGCCTCCGGGGGCTTTCCGCGAGGTGCCGCCTTGCGGGGGCTGGCGCGCGGCGCCGCTGTAGGTGAGGAGACCGCCTCCCTGCCCCGCCCTGCGCCCCGCGCCCCGCGCCCTCGGCCTCCACCTGGTAATTCGAGCTGTTCCGGATTTAACGCCCCACTTCGGGCTGTGGGTAATGGGAACAAGCCGAGTCTTGTCCTTCCTCTGGGGCAGGTCGGCGGAGCGCTGGTCTGGGTCCGAGCGCCTTGGAAACTGCCAGGACTACTGTTGCGCTGAAGCGAAGGAGTCCACGGAGTCCACGGCCGGGCACCAGTGTGCGCTTCGCCTGCCGATCTTGGGGCCCTGGATGGCGCCTTTTAATCGGGGACGACTTAGAGCTGTTCCTGAAATCCTCGGTGTAATGTGGTGTTTGCCTGCTTCTTTGGCTTGTGGCAGCAGTAGCCAGCCAGGGCCAGAATTCTGAGGTTTATCTTCTATCCGTGGAAGCCTTCTGCCATTCCAAGAGTATTAAGTTATTTGCGCTGTAGTTGGAACCGCCGACCTGCCTGGGATCCAGATTCTGAGGCAATGCTTCCTGTTACTCTTTGCCTTTTTTTTTTTTTTTTTTTTTTTTTTTTACGAATTTTGTTTGATGGCAGTAAATCCGTTGAAAACCGAAAAGCTAGGCAGTTCCCAAGAGGAAAGCGGCGTTTTATGTATGCTCTATGCTAGATGCGTTACCCTGAGTAGATCTGGGGCAAACTTTCCAACAAACTATTGCGCACAGTGATTATACGGATTAAGGGCTTGGACTCTGCAGTCTGAGAACCAGCCTTAAGCTGCACAGAAATTGCTTTGTTTCCCCCCCTCGCGTGTGTTATTGTGATTATATGCGATGATAGGTGGGAAGGGAAAGAAGTGCCTTGGTATTTCCGAGCTGCCTATTGTGGATAGTTTTTCCTGTGGCGAGGAAATTGGTGATGAGGGAATGCTTGGGGCAGAACAGATGTCAGGGAGTCGCGGTCACTGCTCCGTCGGTGGAAGTTCCCCCCCGGCCACTGGATGGCTCCACCAAGTGATTTCTGTTGCTTTCTCTGCCTACTGATGTGAAACTAGCCTCTGTGAATAGAGAGGGCCAAATTCAGCTGTAACAGGAATTTTAGCTATTAAGCGTGGAAGTCCTGATGTGAAATACTGCCTTTCTCAAACATCTGCTTTCAATTGAATAAAGATAGAATCTGTAAATCAGAATACCGAGCTACGAGTCCTTGCACTTAACAGCTTCACAAATGACTTCTTTAATTCATTGTGTGTCCTGGAAAGGCTGCCAAAATTCGTTTATTCTGAGGAAGTTAATATCTAGGATTTGAGGTGGAAGTGTAACAAATTACTTTCCAGATTACTGCAGTCTGTACTAGAGCCACGTCCTTAATGGTGGTCACTAATGTTTTAACCCAGCTCGCGAATACATGAAGGTACAGTCTCTGAGGGCTCCTTTGAACAAATTTGGAAATTAAATTTTTCGGAATTGGGAAAGTCCTCTTTCTTCTGAGACAACCTTGTAAGAAATGACTCTTGATTTAGTTCCCTTTGACAGAAAAATGAAGTGGGTTTTTGACTTGATGTTTTTCAATGATCTGCCAGATCTCCATATGAATTCTTCGAAATCTAGCAAAACTATTCTAGAAACTGTAACTAGCATGGTGCAAAATGCTATTTAAAGGTGCAAAATGAAAATAGCAGATAGTTTGAATTTAACTTTAAGCCTTTGAAATGCTTATATTTAAACTAAGGGAATCTTTAGTTAAAAGATTTTGTTTGGTAATTTGCCCTTGAGTGTACATACAGTGTTTGGGGCAGTGGCTGGCCCTGGGTGCTCTTGTTAACCTATCAGTTTTTCTTACTTCTCTCTTTACTCCTAAGCACACACAAGTTCATTAACTTCCAGAGACTCAGATAAGGAAAATCTGTTAAAAGGGAATTATAACTTAATAGGTTGCTAGAGATCAAATGAGATCTAGTGTTATGTGGAAGCATTTTGAAAACCAGTTTCTTTTTTTTTCCTCTTAACATATTGGTTGAGGGGTGCCTAGCTGGCTGAGTCAGTACAACGTGGGGTTGTTAAGTTCAAGCCCCACATTGGATGTGAAGATTACTTTAAAAATTAAAAGAAGTATCTTGGTTGAGTCTTTAGAGGTGTAAGTAAATTATGCAAAGTTTTCATTAAGTTTACAATATGTAAAAATATCTTATTGGAAAAAATCAATATAGAAAGTTTGTAGATTTTATAACATTGTAAAGCCACCAACTATTTAAAAGGAATAAATAATGGAAGAGTATGTGTAGGTGATCTTGTCTAAATATAACGCCGGTGTTCTTCGAGGGGTCTCTGTATTAGGTCATTAATTTCAATTAAAAGTACTCTACTTGTGAGTGATTGTTTTATGGTTATTGATTTAATTTGCAATCACCCTTGTATTTTTGTGGTTTAAGTAAAAGTTGAAAAGGTGGCTTGGGCCCAGATTTGAAAAGGCGATTGTGCACTTAAATACTACAAAAGCATATAACATGTACCTTTGAATTGGAAAACAACTTTTTTCTTCTCTCTCTTTTTTTCTTTTAAACAGCAGTTCTGTGGTGTTCTTGGTCACACATTTATGGAGTTTCTGAAGGGCAGTGGAGATTACTGCCAGGCACAGCACGACCTCTATGCAGACAAGTGAACTGTAGAAATTCATTACTACTCCACCAAGAAGCCCCCATAAGAGTGGTTAACCTGGACACAGAAGTGTTGAATTGAAATCCACAGAGCATTTTACAAGAGTTCTGACCTGGATGGGGTAAACCTCAGTGCACTTCCTTTCTATTGCCTCAGTATTACTGGATTGAAGAATTGCTGCTTCTTGTTAGGAGGTTCATTTCATTTCCCATTACCCCCAACTTCATACTCAAAGCACTGAGAATTTCGAGTGGAGTATATTGAAGTAGACTCAGTTTCTTTGCATCATTTCTGTATTCAATTTTTAAAATTCTTTCATAACCCTATTGAGTGTTTTTTTAATTAAATTAACATGGCTCGAATGAACCGCCCAGCTCCTGTGGAAGTCACATACAAGAACATGAGATTTCTTATTACACACAATCCAACCAATGCGACCTTAAACAAATTTATAGAGGTAAGGTTTGATACTTTTTTTAATGTCTTAAACTGATTGCGGTTTATGGTGGGGCTTTTTATCAAACTAAACAGTTTAGGAAATTTTTACTGGTATACCTATATTTCAGGTCCCGGAAATGAAATACCAGTTTCTTCTTTAGGTTATACAGGAAGATAATTCTGTACATTTCAAAAAGGACATGTACTTGAATTAGTTTGGATTTGTAATAAGATCATCTAGTTCTTGCCTCACAGTTTGCCTGTTTTAATCTATATAAGGGCAGTATAACAGTATGATTCTCACGTACAAGAAATTTATAGGA